ATAGATTCATCATCCAAAGACCAATGGGTGCGATCATACCAGCACTAATGCACCGGATCCCATCAGAACTACTCAGTTAAGCGTGCTTGGGCGAGAGTAGTACTAGGATGGGTGACCTCCTGGGAAGTCCTCGTGTTGCACCCCTTTTTCATTTTTTTTCTTTTAATTTTCTTCTACTTTCGGAATTTCTTATGGGAAGCAATCGGTTCATGTAAGCATTACGTCTTAGTATGGCTGCGAATGAACAACATGTTCGATGAACGGCACGTGAACAAGCTGGATCAAAGGTCGTTTATGTTCGCTCGGTAAGGTTTCCAAAGAGAAATAATTTTTTCTTCTTCTTTCGAAAATTTTTTGGGTAGTCATCGGTTGAAGTAAGTATTAAGTCTTAGTACGTATGACGTATACGATCATATGTTGGCAACAATGCACCGGATCCAATGAGATGTGGCTTGTATAGATTTATCATGCAAAGACCAATGGGTGCGATCATACCAGCACTAATGCACCGGATCCCATCAGAACTCCGCAGTGAAGCGTGCTTGGGCGAGAGTAGTACTAGGATTCGTGACCTCCTGGGAAGTCCTCGTGTTGCACCCCATTTTCATTTTTTTTCTTTTAATTTTCTTCTACTTTCGGAATTTCTTATGGGAAGCAATCGGTTCATGTAAGCATTACGTCTTAGTATGGCTGCGAATGAACAACATGTTCGATGAACGGAACATGAACAAGCTGGATCAAAGGCCGTTTATGTTCGCTCGGTAAGGTTTCCAAAGAGAAATAATTTTTCTTCTTCTTTCGAAAATTAGTTTGGGTAGTCATCGGTTGAAGTAAGTATTAAGTCTTAGTACGTATGGCGTATACGATCATATGTTGGCAACAATGCACCGGATCCAATGAGATGTGGCTTGTATAGATTTATCATGCAAAGACCAATGGGTGCGATCATACCAGCACTAATGCACCGGATTCCATCAGAACTCCGCAGTTAAACGTGCTTGGGCGAGAGTAGTACTAGGATGGGTGGCCTCCTGGGAAGTCCTCGTGTTGCACCCCTTTCGGAATTTCTTATTGGAAGCAATCGGTTCATGTAAGCATTACGTCTTAGTATGGCTGCGAATGAACAACATGTTCGATGAACGGATCATGAACAAGCTGGATCAAAGGCCGTTTATGTTCGCTCGGTAAGGTTTCCAAAGAGAAATAAATTTTTCTTCTTCTTTCGAAAACTTTTTGGGTAGTCATTGGTTGAAGTAAGTATTAAGTCTTAGTACGTATGACGTATACGATCATATGTTGGCAACAATGCACCGGATCCAATGAGATGTGGCTTGTATAGATTTATCATGCAAAGACCAATGGGTGCGATCATACCAGCACTAATGCACCGGATCCCATCAGAACTCCGTAGTGACGCGTGCTTGGGCGAGAGTAGTACTAGGATTCGTGACCTCCTGGGAAGTCCTCGTGTTGCGCCCCATTTTCATTTTTTTCTTTTAATTTTCTTCTACTTTCGGAATTTCTTATGGGAAGCAATCGGTTCATGTAAGCATTACGTCTTAGTATGGCTGCGAATGAACAACATGTTCGATGAACGGATCATGAACAAGCTGGATCAAAGGCCGTTTATGTTCGCTCGGTAAGGTTTCCAAAGAGAAATAAATTTTTCTTCTTCTTTCGAAAACTTTTTGGGTAGTCATCGGTTGAAGTAAGTATTAAGTCTTAGTACGTATGGCGTATACGATCATATGTTCGCAACAATGCACTGGATCAAATGAGATGCGGCTTGTATAGATTTATCATGCAAAGACCAATTGGTGCGATCATACCAGCACAGATGCACCGGATCCCATCAGAACTTCGCAGTTAAGCGTGCTTGGCCAAGAGTAGTACTAGGATGGGTGACCTCCTAAGAAGTCCTCGTGTTGCACCCCTTTTTCATTTTTTTTCTTTTTCACTTTCTTCTCCTTTCAGAATTTCTTATGGGAAGCAATCGGTTCATGTAAGCATTACGTCTTAGTATGGCTGCAAATGAACAACATGTTGGATGAACGGCACGTGAACTAGCTGGATCGAAGGTCGTTTATGTTTGCTCGGTAATGTTCACAAAGAGAAATAATTTTTTCTTCTTCTTTCGAAAATTTTTTGGGTAGGCATCGGTTGAAGTAAGTATTAAGTCTTTGTACGTATGGCGTATACGATCATATGTTGGCAACAATTCACCGGATCCAATGAGATGTGGCTTGTATAGATTTATCATGCAAAGAACAATGGTTGCAATTATACCAGCACTAATGCACCGGATTCCATCAGAACTCCACAGTTAAGCGTGCTTGGGCGAGAGTAGTACTAGGATGGGTGACCTCCTGGGAAGTCCTCGTGTTGCATACCTTTTTCATTTTTTTTCTTTTATTTTCTTCACCTTTCGGAATTTCTTATGGGAAGCAATCGGTTCATGTAAGCATTGCGTCTTAGTATGGCTGCAAATGAACAACATGTTCGATGAACGGCACGTGAACAAGCTAGATCGAATGTCGTTTATGTTCGCTCGGTAAGGTTTCCAAAGAGAAATAATTTTTTCTTCTTCTTTCGAAAATTTTTTGGGTAGTCATCGGTTGATGTAAGTATTAAGTCTTAGTACGTATAGCGTATAGGATCATATGTTGGCAACAATGCACCGGATCCAATGAGACGTGGCTTGTATAGATTTATCATGCAAAGACCAATGGGTGTGATCATACCAGCACTAAAGCACCGAATCCCTTTAGAACTCCGCAGTTAAGCCTGCTTGGGCGAGAGTAGTACTAGGATGGGTGACCTCCTGGGAAGTCCTCGTGTTTGTTGCACCCCTTTTACATTTTTTTTCTCTTTTAATTTTCTTCTACTTTCGGATTTTCTTATGGGAAGCAATCGGTTCATGTAAGCATTACGTCTTAGTATTACTGCGAATGAACAACATGTTCGATGAAAGGCACGTGAACAAGCTGGATCAAAGGTTGTTTATGTTCGCTCGGTAAGGTTTCCATTTCTTCTTCTTTCGAAAATTTTTTGGGTAGGCATCGGTTGAAGTAAGTATTAAGTCTTAGTACGTATGGCGTATACGATCATATGTTGGCAACAATTCACCGGATCCAATGAGATGTGGCTTGTATAGATTTATCATGCAAAGAACAATGGTTGCGATCATACCAGTACTAATGCACCGGATCCCATCAGAACTCCGCAATTAAGCGTGCTTGGGCGAGAGTAGTACTAGGATGGGTGACCTCCTGGGAAGTCCTCGTGTTGCACACCTTTTTCATTTTTTTTTTCTTTTATTTTCTTCACCTTTCGGAATTTCTTATGGGAAGCAATCGGTTCATGTAAGCATTGCGTCTTAGTATGGCTGCAAATGAACAACATGTTCGATGAACGGCACGTGAACAAGCTAGATCGAATGTCGTTTATGTTCGCTCGGTAAGGTTTCCAAAGAGAAATAGTTTTTTCTTCTTCTTTCGAATATTCCTTGGGTAGGCATCGGTTGAAGTAAGTATTAAGTCTTAGTACGTATGGCGTATACGATCATATGTTGGCAACAATGCACCGGATCCAATAAGATGTGGCTTGTATAGATTTATCATGCAAAGACCAATGGGTGCGATCATACTAGCACTAATGCATCGGATCCCATCAGAACTCTTCAGTTAAGCGTGCTTGGGCGAGAGTAGTACTAGGATGGGTGACCTCCTGGGTAGTCCTCGTGTTGCACCCTTTTTTCATTTTTTTTCTTTTTATTTTCTTCTCCTTTCGGAATTTCTTATGGGAAGCAATCGGTTCATGTAAGCATTACGTCTTAGTATGGCTGCGAATGAATAACATGTTCGATGAACGGCACGTGAACAAGCTGGATCAAAGGTCATTTATGTTCGCTCGGTAAGGTTCACAAAGAGAAATAATTTTTTCTTCTTCTTTCGAAAATTTTTTGGGTAGGCATCGGTTGAAGTAAGTATTAAGTCTTAGTACGTATGGCGTATACGATCATATGTCGGCAACAATGCACCGGATCCAGTGAGATGTGGCTTGTATAAATTTATCATGCAAAAACCAATGCGTGCGACCAGCACTAATGCTTCGGATCCCGTCAGAACTCCGCAGTCAAGCGTGCTTGGGCGAGAGTAGTACTAGGATGGGTGATCTCCTGGGAAGTCCTCGTGTTGCACCCCTTTTTCATTTTTTTTCTTTTTATTTTCTTCTCCTTTCGGAATTTCTTATGGGAAGCAATCGGTTTATGTAAGCATTACGTCTTAGTATGGCTGCGAATGAACACCATGTTCGATGAACGGCACGTGAACAAGCTGGATCAAAGGTCGTTTATGTTCACTCTGTAAGGTTCACAAAGAGAAATAATTTTTTCTTCTCCTTTCGAAAATTTTTTGGGTAGGCATCGGTTGAAGTAAGTATTAAGTCTTAGTACGTATGGCGTATACGATCATATGTTGGCAACAATGCACCGGATCCAATAAGATGTGGCTTTTACAGATTTATCATGCAAAGACCAGTGGGTGCGATCATACCAGCACTAATGCACCGGATCCCATCAGAATTCCTCAGTTAAGCGTGCTTGGGCGAGAGTAGTACTAGGATGGCTGACCTCCTGGGAAGTCCTCGTTTTGCACCCCTTTTTCATTTTTTCTTCTTTTTATTTTCTTCTCCTTTCGGAATTTCTTATGGGAAGCAATCGGTTCATGTAAGCATTACGTCTTAGTATGGCTGCGAATGAATAACATGTTCGATGAACGGCACGTGAACAAGCTGGATCAAAGGTCGTTTATGTTCGCTCGGTAAGGTTCACTAAGTGAAATAATTTTTTCTTCTTCTTTCGAAAATTTTTTGGGTAGGCATCGGTTGAAGTAAGTATTAAGTTTTATTACGGTTGGCGTATACGATCATATGTCGGCAACAATGCACCGGATCCAATGAGATGTGGCTTTTATAGATTTACAATGCACAGACCAATGGGTGCGATCATACCGGATAAAATGCATCGGATCCCGTCAGATATCCGCAGTCAAGCGTGCTTGGACGAGAGTAGAACTAGGATGGGTGATCTTCTTGGAAGTCCTCATGTTGCACCCCTTTTTCATTTTTTTTCTTTTTATTTTCTTCTCCGTTCGGAATTTCTTATGGGAAGCAATCGGTTCATGTAAGCATTACGTCTTAGTATGGCTGCGAATGAACAACATGTTCGATGAACGGCACGTGAACAAGCTGGATCAAAGGTCGTTTATGTTCGCTCGGTAAGGTTCACAAAGAGAAATAATTTTTTCTTCTTCTTTCGAAAATTTTTTGGGTAGGCATCGGTTGAAGTAAGTATTAAGTCTTAGTACGTATGGCGTATACGATCATATGTCGGCAACAATGCACCGGATCCATTAGACGTGGCTTGTATAGATTTATCATGCAAAGACCAATGAATGCGATCATAGCAGCACTAATCCACCGGATCCTATCAGAACTCCGCAGTTAGCCGTGCTTGGGCGAGAGTAGTACTAGGATGGGTGACTTCCTCTGAAGTCCTCGTGTTGCACCCCTTTTTCATTTTTTTTCTTTTTATTTTCTTCTCCTTTCGGAATTTCTTATGGGAAGCAATCGGTTCATGTAAGCATTACGTCTTAGTATGGCTGCGAATGAATAACATGATCGATGAACGGCTCGTGAACAAACTGGATCAAAGCTCGTTTATTTTTGCTCGGTACTAATGTTGCACCATTAGTACGTAGGGCGTATACGATAATATGTCGGCAACAATGCACCGTATCCAATGAGATGTGGCTTGTATAGATTTATCATGCAAAGACTAATGGGTGCGACCATACCAGCACTAATGCACCGAATCCCATCAGAAGTCTGCAGTGAAGCGTGCCTAAGCGAGAGTAGTACTAGGATTGGTGACCTCTTGGGAAGTCCTCATGTTGAACCCCTTTTTCATTTTTTCTTTTTTATTTGCTTCTCCTTTCGGAATTTCTTATGGGAAGCAATCGGTTCATTTGAGCATTACGTCTTAGTATGGCTGCGAATGAACAGCAGGTTCGATGAACGGCTCGTGAACAAGGTGGATCAAAACTCATTTATCTTCGCTCGGTAAGGTTCTTAAAGAGAAATAATTTTTTCTTCTTCTTTCGAAAGTTTTTTGGGTAGGCATCGATTGAAGTAAGTATTAAGTCTTAGTACGTATGACTTATACGATCATATGTCGGCAACAATGCACCGGATCCAATGAGATGTGGCTCGTATAGATTTATCATGCAAAGACCAATGGGTGCGATCATACCAGCACTAATGCATCGGATCCCGTCAGAACTCCGTAGTCAGGCATGCTTGGGCGAGAGTAGTACTAGGATGGGTGATCTCCTTGGAAGTCCTCGTGTTGCACCCCTTTTTCATTTTTTTTCTTTTTATTTTCTTCTCCTTTAGGAATTTCTTATGGGAAGCAATCGGTTCATGTAAGCATTACGTCTTAGTATGGTTGCGATTGAACAGCATGATCGAGTGGCGCATACGATAATATGTCTACAACAATGCTCCGGATCCAATGAGATGTGGCTTGTATAGATTTATCATGGGAAGACCAAAGGGTGGGATCAAACTAGCACTAATGCACCGGATCCCATCAGAACTCCGCAGTTAAGCGTGCTCCAGTGAGAGTAGTACTAGGATGGGTGACCTCTTGGGAAGTACTCATGTTGAACCCCTTTTTCATTTTTTCTTTTTATTTTCTCTCCTTTCGGAATTTCTTATGGGAAGCAATCGGTTCATGTAAGCATTACGTCTTAGTATGGCTGCGAATGAACAACATGTTCGATGAATAGCTCGTGAACAACCTAGATCAAAGGTCGTTTATGTTTGCTCGGTAAGGTTCATAAAAAGAAATAACTTTTTCTTCTTCTTTCGAAATTTTTTTGTGTAGGCATCGGTTGAAGTAAGTATTAAGTCTTAGTACGTATGGCGTATACGAGCATATGTCGGCAACAATGCACCGGATCCAATGAGATGTGGCTTGTATTGATTTATCATGCAAAGGAAAATGGGTGCGATCATACTAGCACTAATGCACCGGATCCCATCAGAACTCCGCAGTTAAGCGTGCTTGGGCGAGAGTAGTACTAGAGTGGGTGACCTCCTGGGAATCCCTCGTGTTGCACCATTTTTTCATTTTTGCTTTTTTATTTTCTTCTCCTTTCGGAATTTCTTATGGGAAGCAATCGGTTCATTTAAGCATTAAATCTTAGTATGGCTGCGAATGAACAGCATGCTCGATGAACGACTCGTGAACAAGCTGGATCAAAGCTCGTTTATGTTCGCTCGGTAAGGTTCACAAAGAGAAAGAATTTTTTCTTCTTCTTTCGAAATTTTTTTGGGTAGGCATCGGTTGAAGTAAGTATTAAGTCTTACTACGTAGGGCGTATAGGATAATATGTCTGCAATAATGCACCGGATCCAATGAGATGTGGCTTGTATAGATTTATCAGGCAAAGACTAATGGGTGCGACCCTACCAGCACTGATGCACCGGATCCCATCAGAACTCTGCAGTGAAGCGTGGCTGGGCGAGAGTTGTACTAGGATGGGTGACCTCTTGGGAAGTCCTCATGTTGAACCACTTTTTCATTTTTTCTTTTTTATTTTCTTCTCCTTTCAGAATTTCTTATGGGAAGCAATCGGTTCATGTAAGCATTACGTCTTATTATGGCTGCGAATAAACAGCAGGTTCAATGAACGGCTCGTGAACAAGCTGGATCAAAACTCGTTTATCTTCGTTCGGTAAGGTTCACAAAGAGAAATAATTCTTTCTTCTTCTTTCGAAAATTTTTTAGGTAGGCATCGATTGAAGTAAGTATTAAGTCTTAGTACGTATGGCTTATACGATCATATGTCGGGAACAATGCACCGGATCCAATGAGATGTGGCTCGTATTGATTTATCATGCAAAGACCAATGGGTGCGATCATATCAGCACTAATGCACCAGATCCCAACAAAACTCCGCAGTTAAGCGTGCTTGGACGAGAGTAGTACTAGAGTGGGTGACCTCCTGGGAATCCCTTGTGTTGCACCATTTTTTCATTTTTGCTTTTTTATTTTCTTCTCCTTTCGGAATTTCTTATGGGAAGCAATCGGTTCATTTAAGCATTAAATCTTAATATGGTTGCGAATGAACAGCATGATCGATGAACGGCTCATGAATAAGCTAGATTAAAGCTCGTTTATGTTCGCTCGGTAAGGTTCACAAAGAGAAATAATTTTTTCTTCTTCTTTCGAAATTTTTTTGGGTAGGCATCGGTTGAAGTAAGTATTAAGTCTTAGTACGTATGGCGCATACGATAATATGTCTGGAACAATGCTCCGGATCCAATGAGATGTGGCTTGTATAGATTTATGATGGGAAGACCAAGGGTGCGATCAAACTCGCACTAATGCACCTGATCCCATCAGAACTCCGCAGTTAAGCGTGCCTCGGTGAGAGTAGTACTAGGATGGGTGACCTCTTGGGAAGCCCTCGTGTTGCACCCTTTTTTCATAATTTCTTTTTTTTATTTTCTTCTCCTTTCGGAATTTCTTATGGGAAGCAATCGGTTCATTTAAGCATTACATCATAGTATGGCTGTGAATGAACAGCATGATCGATGAATGGCTCGTGAACAAGCTGGATCAAAGTGCGTTTATGTTCGCTCGGTAAGGTTCACAAAGAGAAATAATTATTTCTTCTTCTTTCGAAATTTTTTTGGGTAGGCATCGGTTGAAGTAAATATTAAGTCTTAGTACATATGGCGCATACGATAATATGTCTGCAACTATGCTCCGGGTCCATTGAAATGTGGATTGTATAGATTTATGATGCAAAGGAAAATGGGTGCGATCATACCAGCACTAACGCACCGGATCCCATCAGAACTCCGCAGTTAAGCGTGCTTGGGCGATAGTAGTACTAGAGTGGGTGACCTCCTGGGAATCCCTCGTGTTGCTCCATTTTTCCATTTTTGCTTTTTTATTTTCTTCTCCTTCCGGAATTTCTTATGGTTGCAAATGAACAGCATGATCGATGAACGGCTCGTGAACAAGCTGGATTAAAGCTCGTTTATGTTCGCAAGGTAAGCTTCACAAAGAGAAATAATTTTTTCTTCTTCTTTCGAAATTTTTTTGGGTAGGCATCGGTTGAAGTAAGTATTAAGTCTTAGTACGTATGGCGCATACTATAATACGTCTGCAACAATGCTCCGGATCTAATGAGATGTGGCTTGTATAGATTTATCATGGGAAGACCAAAGGGTGCGATCAAACTAGCACTAATGCACCGGATCCCATCAGAACTCCGCAGTTAAGCGTGCTTCGGTGAGAGTAGTACTAGGATGGGTAACCTCTTGGGAAGCCTTCGTGTTGCACCCTTTTTTCATATTTTCTTTTTTTATTTTCTTCTCCTTTCAGAATTTCTTATGGGAAGCAATCGGTTCATTTAAGCATTACATCTTAGTATGGCTGCGAATGAACAGCATGATCGATGAACGGCTCGTGAACAAGCTGGATCAAAGCTCGTTTATCTTCGCTCGGTAAGGTTCACAAAGAGAAATAATTTTTTCTTCTTCTTTCGAAATTTTTTTGGGTAGGCATCGGTTGAAGTAAGTATTAAATCTTAGTACGTATGGCGCATACGATAATATGTCTGCAATAATGCTCCGGGTCCATTGAAATGTGGATTGTATAGATTTATCATGCAAAGACCAATGGGTGCAATCATACCACAACTAATGCACCGAATCCCATCAGAACACCGCAGTTAAGCGTGCTTCCGCGAGAGTAGTACTTGGATGGGTGACCACCTGGTAAGTCCTCGTGTTGCAACCATTTTTCATTTTTTTCTTTTTATTTTCTTCTCCTTTCGGTATTTCTTATGGGAAGCAATCGGTTCATATAAGCATTATGTCTTAGTAAGGCAGCGAATGGACAGCATGTTCGATGAACGGCTCGTGAACAAGCTGGATCAAAGGTCGTTTATGTTCGCTTAGTAAGGTTCACAAAGTGAAATAATTTTTTCTTCTTCTTTCGAAATTTTTTTGGGTAGGCATCGGTTGAAGTAAGTATTATTTTTTTGGGTACCCAAATTTTTTTGGGTATTCGCTCAGTATGGCG